GGTGGCTGCAATGATGAGCTCAAGTATAGCAGGGATTGTGGGGCTGGCGTGGGATTGGGCAATGTTTCGTTTGCTGTGCATGGGGTCGCTATGAGTCAGAAACGACTCGACGGCACTTAACAACAACAACAACAATATGAGCAATTTAGGTAGAGAAGTGGTACAGTAGGCTTAAAAGCAATTGGGTTATGATTCCATTTAAATGAAATGTCTAGAATAGGCAAATCCATACAGACAGAGAGTATATTAGTGGTTCCCAGGTCTGGAGGGAGAGGGAACTAGGGAGTGCTGCTAATGAGTAGGGGTGTTTGGGTGGGTGGGGGAAGGTTAATAAAAAGTGTTCTGGAATTAGTGGTAATAGTTGCACAACTTTTTAAACTAAACACCATCTTTGCCTCATTGTTATTTTTATCACGGTGGTATAGTGCCTAAGGCATTTGACTGCTAATCAGAAGGCTGGTGGTTCAAACCAACCAGCCACTCATTGGAAGGAAGGTTGGCCAATCTACTTCTGTAGTGATACCACCTCAGAAACTCAAGGAGGGGTCGCTAGGAATCTGATCTGACTCAACAGTGAATTTCATTCAAATGTCTAATTCTAAGGAAAGGATCTTTATATTACTATGATGTGCTTTGATATTTCAAAGTTTGTTTTGAAGGGTGCAGATAAGGAAAAGGCAATGGTTCTGTATTCTTTTGCCTTATCTTTTTCCTATGCCACTGTCAAAGACTTGTAAGTAATTTTTCATTCTGTACTGAGAAAGTGATATAATAGGATGTGACACACTTTAATTTTATTTTTCCACAGTTTCTACAGCAATATAATCACTACAAATCCAATGTGGAGATTTTCAAATTACAACCAAATAAACCCAGCAAAGAACTGGCAGAGCTGGTGATGTTTATGGCACAGGTAAGAAGATAACTTCTAAACAGACTTAAGAGCAATGTGTTGCACACATTTAGCAGAATATTTTTTCAGTAATACTCTTATTCCACTTTTAAGTGGAAAGTTAAGGAAATAATTTTCCTGTTTTGCAACTTTGTTTTCTCTCTCTTGTAAGTGAGAGGATTTCTCTAGTCTTTACAGAGCTAACCAGAACAAAACTTTCAAACACTGTTTTCTTCAAACTTATCATAAAAATGGGTTCTAAATTATGTCATGAGTATTTTACTAGAGTAGAAGAAATATGAGAGGGGTTAGAGAAACTAGCATTTAGAAGAAAAAAGTGATTTAGGACCACCTACTCTCCTTTTACAGAACACCTTAATTGTGTGCATCCGAATAACTTAGAAAGGGAGACACTTCAAAAGAGCCTTTGTTTTGTTACAGATTAGTCACTGCTACCCAGAATATCTAAGTAGCTTTCCTCAGGAACTGAAAGATCTGCTGTCTTATAATCACACTCTCTTGGATCCTGATCTACGAATGGTAGGACCACTATTTGGATTAATAAATACTGCTGTGTTCATGTGTGTGTGTGTGAAGTATGTATTTGAGTGACAATAGCTTGCTAGCCAGGAAGCTTTTAAAAATATAAATCAGAATGTATCACCCTTTAAAATCCTCCCATGGTTTCTAATCTTAGAATAAAACTCAAACTTATCATGTCCTTTCAATACGTACATGATGTGCTTCCTTGTCTGTGTTTCTTATCTCATCTCCCTCCATCGCCCCCTTGTCCGCTACACTTTCCTATTCTTCCATCATGTTAACTCTGCAGGGAGGTTCTTCCCTCTTTTTTGAATAGGTGATTCCTTCTAGTCATTCAAATCAAGCTGCATGAAGAACATAATTACAACTTAAAGTTTTTATAATGCTTACTTTAATAAACATATCCATTAAAGCTCTGGTGGCATAGTGCCTAACACGTTTGCCCGCTAACCAAAAGGTTGGTGGTACAAAGCCACCAGCTGCTCTGTGGAAGAAAGACTGAGCAATCTACTTCCGTGAAGGTTTACCACTTTGGAGACCCATTGAGAGTCGCTCTGAGTCGGAATTAAAATGGCAGTGGGTTTGTTTTTTTGGTTTATCCATTAAATAGCCAGTTTGAGCATTTAAACATTGATTCCCTCTATGCTTGACGTTGGGTCCTGGCCTAGATCCCCTTTACCAGGCTATTGTATGCATCTCTCCCACCTAGTATAGATTTTAGCTGCTAATGCCCCACTGTCCTTTGAAAAATTGCCCTCAACCAAATGGGAGTCCTGGTACCTGGACGATTGCTCTCACGGCACACAGCCAGTGACTGACCTGCTCAGAGGTACAAAAGCCCAGCCTGTTGCCTGATTGGACTAACTCTTTAGTGGAGTTTGTGTTCCAGGGCTTTTTCTTTGGATCCCATTAAAGCTAGTCTCCTGCCGAGGATACAGCCTTGCTTAGCTTTCATTTTTCTCTGCTCTATCCTGCTTCCATCACTTCCCTTCTGAGAGCACACCCCCAACAAATCACTGGTAAATGAATCAGGCTCTGCTAGGAAACCTGACCTAAGGCATTTTCAAGTTTAATACCTCCATTTTCAAACACTTTCATAGCAGGTAGAACTTAATACAAGTACTATGATTACAATTCTTACATTTTCAAGTCTTTTGATAATTCTACCATTTTACACTTCTTTAGGATTTTGTTAATTTGATTAGATCCAAAAGAGAAAGAAATGACAATCTCAGAAAAGCCAAGATTGCAGGCTCTGGGTTTTCAACTAATTGACTCTCAGTTGAGTTATGGACCGAGCTGCATAGCACAAGAGGATTCAAATTTGAACCATTAGTCAGAAGGCTTTTACCTGTCATGTAATTCTAGTTCCCTTAGGCCAAAGATGTGAAAGATTTTAATTTTTAAAATTATTTTGAAGTAATTAAACTCATTGCTGCCAAGTTGGATCCAATTTAGAGTGACCCTTCCTGGGGTTTCTGAGGCAGCCACTGTACGGAAGTAGATTGCCCAACCTTCCTTCCGAGGAGTGGCTGGTGGGTTTGAACGGCAGTCTTCTGGTTAGCAGTCAAATGCCTTAGGCACTACACCACCTTAGGATTTTTAAAAAAGTTTTGCATGGCTGGCTGTACTCAACCCAGCTGGCCTCTGGGCATTATTAAATAAGTAAATGTGTGTGTGTTTGTCTTTTTAGTGTTTTAGTACATATTTTTTTAAATGTTAGATATTTCCTTTCCCAGAAGAAGGATGAGGAGGCAGTGTAATTAGCATTCCTATCTAGAGCAATCATTTGGAACATCCTGATAGATCTTCTTTTAATTGGGTGTTGTGATAACCACCAATCTTAACTGCTGGGCTTTCTTTCTACTTAGGGTTGTTGTTGTTGTTGTTATGTGCCGTCGAGTCAGCCCCGACTCATAGCGACCCCTCCTTGGGTTTCCGAGGCAGTATCACTACGGAAGTAGGATTGCCCAACCTTCCTTCCGAGGAGTGGCTGGTGGGTTTGAACCGCCAGCCGTCTGGTTAGCAGGCAAGTGTCTTAGCCACTATGCTACCAGAGCTCCTCTAGTTGCTATTTTTTCCAGGGCTTTTTGATTCATTCTAAGTTTTTAGTCATTCTTTCTTATACAACTGTTGTTGTTGTTAAGTGCCGTTGAGTCGGACCCGACTCATAGCGACCCCTCCTTAGGTTTCCGAGGCAGTATCACTACGGAAGTAGATTGCCCAACCTTCCTTCCGAGGAGTGGCTGGTGGGTTTGAACCGCCAGCCTTCTGGTTAGCAGTCAAGTGCCTTAGGCACTATGCTACCAGAGCTCCTTTCTTATACAACTAGGAACAGATTATATTTTTTAGAAGAAAGCCCATGTATTAGCTTTATGTACTTAATCAACAAAAATTGAACTTACTATTATTTTTTTTCTTTGACAATGCAACTAGTTTTATAAGTAGTTTTGTTAGCTTATTTTTGAGCATTGTTATTTTTATATTCAAATTGTCACACCCTAGCTAATTGGAGTTCTTAGTCCTTTTAGCAGTATTCCTGATGTTTTTGAAAACATTCTTGCATTCTAGCAAAAATAGTTTAACTGTGTTTTTCAGCTCCAAGGTATGAAATTAAGTATTCTCCAAGGATTACTTGGTCCATTTAATGAGGAATAATATTAGAGACCAAAGTATCACTTTGGATGTTAGGTGTACACATGAGTGTTGATGGTAAGCAGGAGTGCTACAATTCCTGTTGGGCCACTCCTAGGACTAAGAGTACTTCAAAATACACTGCTTTTAGGGTTACAAATTCACATTGATTTTTACAACTCAGTTTATTATATGATTTGTACCCTACCTTTCTTGTCTTTGTTCACTGAAGTTTTATCCTGTGTTGACACTTTCCAGAGAGGTGTTGTTTGTCATCCCTGTATAAAGTAGCCCACCATCAATCACTGTTTATCGATCATGTTACCCTGTTTTACATCCTTCATGATACTCATCAGTAACTGAAATAAACTTGTTTATATGCTTGTTTACTTGTCTGTCCCCTCTTCTGCTCCACCCCTAGTGTAAGCTCCGTAAGTACAGACTATTTTGCTCAATGTATAGAAGAAACCAAAAACCAAACCCACTGCCAATGAATTGGTTCTGACTCATAGCAACACTATAAGGCAGAGTAGAATTGCCCTGCAGGACTTCCAAGGCTGTGATCTTTACAGAAGTGGACTACTACATCCTTTTCTTGTAGAGTGGCAGGTCTGTTTGAATTGCTGACCATTTGGTTAACAGCCAAGCATTTTAACTACAGTCAAGGCTGCTGATGCCTAGAATAATGGCAAGCAAATAGGGGACATGAAACTCTTTGGGGATAAACATGTTCCATTTTCTTATCCTTGTTTTATCATTGTCTTATAGTATATTTTCTTTTTCTTCCTGAGACATTTTGCAAAGCTTTGATATTACTGAGAAATAAGAATCTCATCAATCCATCAAGTTTGCTGGAGCTCTTCTTTGAACTTCTGCGTTGCCATGATAAGCTTCTACGAAAGGTAAAGACACGTTTTTTTTTTTTATGTCTCATGCTTGTAGTGACTTTAAAACTTGAAGAGGTTTTGAGTCCCTTGATTTCTTTATACTTTACATTATTGGATATAATTAATATTTTAATAGGAAAAAAATTTATCATTGTGCATGCAATATGGTAGTAATGGCTCATTTATTGAGTTCTTACTTTGTAACAAACACCATTCTAAGAGCTTTTGTGTCTTAACTCGTTTGCTCCTCACAATATCCCTATGTGAGATGTGGTGTTATTATATTGTTACTCTCACTTTCCAGATGACAGGGCTAAGACAGAGAGAGAGTAACTTGCTCAAGGTCACACAGCTTCTAAGTCGTGGAGCTGGCCTATAAACCCAAGCAGTCTGGCCCTATAACTGAAGCCGTTTACTACTGCGTTGTACTGATTAGCTAAATCAGAGCGTGGACATTCATAGCTATGCCTTCCCTCCCCTCAAATAAAACTGTTTTGTTAATATTTCCCTTTTGTTTTGTATTTCCTTATATAAGGAAGACCTGAAGTTGAAGGTTTATGAAAGAAATTTAAGAAAGAAAAACTTAAGTTTGCATAGATTAGCTTAAATGTTTCTTCAAACTATTTTCTTTCTGTCATCATTTGATTTTAACAATTGTATTTTTTAGTGTATCTTGTGTCTTTCCCATAACCCCCCATCTCCTCTAGCCCTATGTAATCACTAATCTACTTTTGCTATCTATAAAGTTGCCTATAGTGGATATTTCATATAAATGCAATTGTTTATTACATGGTCTTTTGTGACTGGCTTCTTTCACTTAACATAATGTTTTCAAAATTTGTTCATCCATGTTTTTGCATTCATCAGTGTGGTACTTCAGTCCTCTTATTGCTGAATGATACTTCATTCTATGAATATACCATATTTTATTTATCCATTATCAGTTAATGGGCATTTATTTGGATTGTTTCTACTTTATGACCATCATGAAGAATGATGCTATGAACATTCACAGATGAGTTTCTGCATGAGCATGCTTTCAGTTCTCCTGGGTATATACCCAGGAGTTGGAGTAGCTGGGCCATATGGTAACTTGATGTTTAGGCTTTTTGTTGTTGTAAAATATATATAATAAAAATTTAATAAAATAAAAAATAGTGACATTAATTACATTCACTATGTTGTACCATCATCATCATTATCTGTTGCCAAATTTTTTCATTACTCTTAATAGGAACTCACATTCCCTTAATGTTAAACCTTTTGAGAGCAACTTTCTTTTTGCTTTTTAAATGCTTTGTTTGCTTGTTTTTGTTGTTTTCATGTGGATAGGGGGAGTTTCTTTGATTCCTTTTGTGATATAATGAAAAATAACTCACTGCTGTTGAGTCTTTTCTTACTCATAGTGACCCCTCCTTGGGTTTCCTAGGCAGTGTCTTTATGGAAGTAGATTGCCCAATCTTCCTTCTGAGGAGTGGCTGGTGGGTTTGAACCGCCAGGCTTCTGGTTAGCAGTCAAATGCCTTAGGCATTATGGCACCAGAGCTCCCATAATGAAAAATAGGTAAAATTAAATCATCCTAAACATTTGTACATTTCTCCAAATTGAGCAAGGTTAGAAATTTTGATTCGGCTTAATGTGTACATGCTTTTGTTTCTTTTCCTCAGACTCTATATACTCATATTGTGACTGATATCAAGAACATAAATGCAAAACACAAGAACAATAAAGTTAATGTAGTAAGTATCCTTTTATTTTCCATGTTTGCAGCATTGTACCATCAGTGCATTAAGTCTCTCTCTTTGTATTCAGGTCTTGCAAAATTTCATGTACACCATGTTAAGAGACAGCAATGCAACTGCAGCCAAGATGTCTTTGGATGTGATGATTGAACTCTACAGAAGAAACATCTGGTAAACTACGTGTAATTGTCTCTTAATAAGGAGATTGTTTTATTCATTCAATACAGGGCATATACAAAAATACTTTCCTTGATCTCAATTTATGTAATAACTCTGCCATAGCCTAAGTTGGAAATAAAAATATAGAGATAATCCAAATGATTAAGAACCACATTGGCTACCATTTCCTGAGGCCAGGCACTTTATATTACCTCAGTCAACCCTCCAAACAGTTTAATACAGTCTATCTAGGTCACAATGAAGTTCATAGACTTTAAGTTTAGTAGCAAGTGAGAAGCAGATCTGAAATTCAAATCCTGATCTCTCTGATTCCAAAGTCTGTGCTCTTCCTACTGTGTCAGTCTGAAGATTTTCAAGTCAATTTGTCTTACGTATGTAAAACACTGTTTCATAAACTTTCATTTGTTGATCCAATATGATCAACTCATATCTTTTGTTTTTCTTAAAAGTAATGTTTATTTATTGCAGCAGAAAACTTGAAAAAGCAAGAAACTGTTTTTGTTTTTAATTCTTGGTAGTAACATCACATAGAAATGATCACTGTAAATTTTTTTGTAGTATTTCCTCCTGGTCTTATAGTATATGGTTGTTGTTGTTATGTGCCGTCAAGTCGGACCCAACTCATAGTGACCCCTTCTTGGGTTTCAGAGGCAGTATCACTACAGAAGTAGATTGCCCATTAGGATTTTTTATTCTGTTTTTTTTTTTCCCCTCAGTTACCTTCTATAGGTTCTTATGTCATTAAGACATTATGTCATTCTTCAAAAATTCTATCTTAATGGCTACATAATTTTCTGATGTAAGGCTGGGCTGAAATTTAAATAAATGTTCACCTGTTATTGACTATTTAACAAATATTTTAAAATATCAAAATTGTAACATGTTGGAAATATTTATTATGTTGTCTGTTTTATGCCATTATTTATGCTGTGAAATACAGTAAAATGGAGATTTGTTTAATAACAATCATTGTTTTCCCTCAGGAATGATGCCAAAACTGTCAATGTTATCACAACTGCATGCTTTTCTAAGATCACCAAGGTGAGCTCTTCTAGGACTGTGTGAAAGCTGTTGGTCCTTATGTGTGACATTTCTGTGGATAGAAGGTGAAAGAGATGGATATGTGATGAAGTGGTATGTGGACATGAACTTCGTGTTTAAACAAAAAATCAAGCCAACCCTATTACTGTTGAGTTGATTCCAATTCATAGTGAGACCCTATGGGACAGAGGAGAACTGCCCTATAGAGTTTCCAGGGCTGTAAGGCTTTATGGGAGTGGACTGCCACGTCTTTAGCCTGCTGAGAAGTGCTGACTTTTGGTTAGCAGCCAGGATCTTTAACTAGTGTGCCACCAGTTTGTGCTTCCAAACCAAACTCCAGACTCACTACCATCGAGTCACTTCTTACTCATAGCGACCCCCATTGGGTTTCTGAGGTGGTAAATCTTTATGGAAATAGATTGCTGCATCTTCCTTCTGTGAAGGCTGGTGGATTTGAACCACCATCCTTTTGGTTAGCAATAAAATGCCTTAGGCACTGTGCCATCAGAGCTCGAATTTGTGCTTAGTAATTATTTGTACTTAGACAATTTTCCTGACTTCATCTTTGTCTTAGGGGACTCAAACAAAATTATCATGAAGAGTTTTTAAAATGACATGCATTAAATAATAGCCTTCATGTTTAGATTTTATGTATTCCTATAATTCTTTACTTTTCTTTTAGGAATGTTAACTCAGGCACAGCTGATAAAACTTTAAGGGCTATGTATTGTTACTAGAAAGGCTAGAAGGGCTTTTCTTGTCAGAGGAGTAGAAATTCTTGACAGTCTAATTTGAAAGATAACCAGGTAAAATTTGACTATTTTCTTCTAGTTAAACTTTTTTTTATTGCCTATTTATGGGATGGTAAGAAAAATGAGCTAAAATTTTACCACACTTTGATTTTATTTTTTCCCTTCAGATCTTAGTCCATACTCATGTGTAAAGTGTAGACAAAAGTATTTGTTGTAATCTGGGTTATGTAATTGACTTGTCTCTGATTGCACCTTAGATATTAGTCGCTGCTTTGACATTCTTCCTAGGAAAAGATGAAGAAGAGAAACAGGACAGTGAGTCAGAATCTGAGGTTAGTTTAACAATTATTCCTTCTGAACGTGACAGTTTATTAGATTTTACTACAATTGTAGAGTCCATGACTGTGTGAGTTAGTGAGAACCTTAGATGTCACAATTGCACGTTATCGAGTTCTGTCATGTTGTGAGATTTTATTCCATTTAGAATTAGTCACTTGTATTCAGGAAGCTTTAAAAAAAAACAAACTCACTGCCATTGAGGCGATTCCGACTCATAGTGACCCCCATTGGCTTTCTGAGGTGGTAAATCTTTGCGGAAGCAGATTGCCCAGTCTTCCTTCCATGGAGTGGCTAGAGGGTTTGAACTGACAGTCTTCTGATTAGCAGTCAAATGTCTTAGGCGCTATGCTTATAAAACATAGGCTCGTTCCATCTTGTTCTTAGTTTTAATGTTATACTTTTGTCTTATTATGTTAATTTAGGATAAAAATTGCCAGTATATTTTTTTAGAGAGAATCTTGACATCATGCATGTTTAGAGTGGGGAAAAGGAGAATAATGCCATGGCAATTTAAAAAAAAAAATGAATATTTATAATGTCATGATAATTTCTTAGAAGTATTGAAGAGGGGGGAAAAAAATTTCCTCCCCACTTTAGCATTTTGATGACAAGAATACTGGAATATATAATAACATCTTTTTATTAGTTTTACTATTATTCTGTTAAATGATTTATGAAAAATAAATTCTCATTATGAAATATTTCAAATAATATAGATAAAGTAAAAGTTTTCTTGACCCTGTCTTGTTTTTACTTCTCAGTTCCTTCCTCAGAGGTACCACTTTGTTTCCTATGTATTGACTATGATATCTGTACATATAAGTATTTAGTAGGTTTTTTAAAACTATTTGTATAATATATATATTACTATAGGAGCTCCAGTAGCATAGTGCCTAAGGCACTTGACTGCTAACCAGAAGACTGGCAGTTCAAACCCACCAGCCACTCCTCGGAATGAAGGTTGGGCAATCTATTTCCCTAGTAAACGGAAACTGCCTCAGAAACCCAAGGAGAGGTCGCTTTGAGTTGGGTCCAACTTGATGGCACATAACAACAACAACAACATATATTACTATGCAACTTGCTTTCTTCTTATCAATCTATATATAGACCTAAAAATTTAGATGTAAATAAAAAAAGATTAGTATATATAGATCTTTTTTTATGTTAGTACATGTGTATCTTCTATCTTATTCTTTAGCGTTTTAGAAAGTGGGTGTACTATAATGTAAACATTTTCATGTTGATAAATACTTGTTTCCAGTTTCTTGTTTCAGTTAATTACAAGACTGCATTCTGTCTGTATAGTATACTTTAATAAAAAAGCAAAGCATTAAAAACAAAAATCAGTGCTTCGGTAAAAATCTTTGTGTGTAACTGTACCTATGTGCATATAGTTTTTACCTGATTTTAGAAGTGGTATTTATTTTTTAAAAGTGATTGAAAAGATTACTCTGCCTCTATGCAGATTTTCCTTGTTTACAATTTTACAAAGTAATTTCTTCTTCAGGATGAAGGACCAACAGCAAGAGACCTTCTAGTACAGTATGCCACAGGGAAGAAAAGCTCCAAACACAAGAAAAAATTGGAAAAGGCTATGAAAGTTCTCAAGGTCAGACATGTAGTTGGAGAAGGGGCCACTATGCCAGCAAAGCTCCTAGGCATCATTAGAATGCAAATTACGTGGTTCTTTGCAAGAGCTTTTCAAAATTTGACATTAAAAAAATAGCGTTTTTGATAGCTTAGAAATGTGTGATAATTTTTTAAGCACTCATTGGTATGATGAATAAATGAATTTGATTAGATTTATATTTTGCTTGTTCTGATGAAGGTGGCCTGTATTAGTGTATCTTTGTCTGACTTATCTTCTCAGAAGAGTACATAAATAATATATGTTTATTATTTTGTAAAGATTATTCTGAAAATAATAGTTTGGTCCCTGTGTGCCTTTTTTTAAAAATGTATATTTTCATATCCCTTTAAGTCTCACAGGTGCTAATAGCTGGCATATTCTTTTTTCTTTTTTCACTTAAGTTGTTTCCTCTTTTTTTTAAAATACATTTTATTGAAATATAATTTTATGTACAGGGAAATACACAAAACTAAAGTGACATGGGTCCGTGATTTTTGTGGGGTTTTTTTTTTTTTTTTGCAGTATTCCCTCCCCTCCCTTCTCACCCCTGGTAACCAACAAAAAGAGTTTCTTTCCATATATAAACGTTTCCTTGACTTTTTACAATAATGAACTAATACCATATTTGTCCTTCTGTGGGACTGACTTATTTCACTCAGCATAATGTCCTCCAAGTTCATCCATGTTATGCAGTATTTTGCAGATTCTACATTATTTAGTGTTGACATAGTATTCCATTGTATGTATGTACCATAGTTTGGTTATCTATTCTTCTGTTAATGGGCACTTAGGTTGTTTCCATCTTTTTGCTAGTGTAAATAGTGCTGCGATGCACATGGATGTGCATATATCTGTTCTTGTCTTGGCGCTCGCTTCTTTAGGATATATACGTAGTAATGGAATTGCTGCATCAAAGGGTATTTCTAATTCCAGCTTTTTAAAGAATCGCCATACTGCTTTTCCCAGTGGTTGTATCATTTTACAGTCCCGCTAGCAGTGTATGAGAGTCCCAATCTCTCTGCATCCTTGCTAGCATTTGTTATTTTCTATCTTATTGAACTTCCCCATTAGCTGGCATAGTCTTGGGATTTAAGCTTAAAAGACAAAAACCACCTTTAGTTCTTCCAACTGAAAGAAAGGTTTTTGGAACAAGATTTGTTTTCATTTTTAAATAGTGTGGTAGACTTGAGACCAGCTTTTAACACACCTTTGATTGTCCTGTGGTGGAATAATCACTGTAATTTAGCATGTAAATGTTTTTCCTCTTCCTTTCTTTCAGAAACAAAAGAAGAAGAAAAAACCAGAAGTGTTTAACTTTTCAGCTATTCACTTGATTCATGATCCCCAAGGTACTATAGTTATGACTTGCATATGTCTGCCTATTTAGTTCCTTACTTGCAGTGTTGCCAAAGAACCGTAAAGCCCCAACACATAGTTGGGAATCAGTGAATGCTTAGTTGTAAAGCCCCAACACATAGTAGGTAATCAGTGAGTGCTTAGTTGTTAATCGTGGGTTGCAGCCTAGAGGATTATGTTCTAAAGTAATGATTCCCAGTCCACAGCAAAGTAAGAGAAATGCAGAACAGCTCTATCAAGATTCATGTCTTTAAAAACACAATAGTGGCAGAACATTTTACTTGACTGAAAAAAAAAGTTGTCAGTCTTTTGATGGTATTTTTTTTTTATTTCCTTTTTCTCTCTTTTTTAAAACTTGTCTATAGAAACAAAAAACTGGAAAATCCTGTTCTGTAACACTTTTTCAAAGTAAGCTGCACTTTGGAATCACCTGAGTGATTTACATAAATTTACTGTTATCCCCAAAGAGTCTGATAGTTATCCCCAAAGAGTCTTATAGTTAGTGTGGGGTGTGGCTGGTTGTAGGATTTTAAAAAGCTCCCTAGGTACTGTCCTCTAATGTACAATAAAGCTTGCTGACCCTGGCTCTAGATCAGTGTTTCTTAAATTTCAATGTCCATACAAATCACCTTGAGATCTTGTTAAAGTACAAATTCTGATTCTGTAGGTCTGGGATTGGGCCTGAAATTCTGTATTTCTAAAAAAGCTCCTGAGGCTTTAGAGAACCACCTAAGTAGAGCACCTATCAACAATCACTCTAGTTATTAATACTGAAAATATTGAGAATCCTTAAGACTTACCTTTGGGTACCATTGAAGGTTTATTTACCTGTGTGTCAATCTTTTCATCTTCCGTCATGTGGTTGTTTTCACTGCCCTGGTTCAGCATGTTGTTGTTGTTGTTGTTTGCCATCGAGTCGGCCCTGACTCATAGCGACCCCTCCTTGGGTTTCCGAGGCAGTATCACTACGGAAGTAGGAATGCCCAACCTTCCTTCCGAGGAGTGGCTGGTGGGTTTGAACCGCCGTGGCTGGTTCAGCATAGAGATTTTCAGTCACAGCCATAGCAGAGTCACTCTTTGACTACATCTTTCCCTGCATCTGTTAGATAATGGTGTACTCATAGTATACTTCTCTGATACTGTCCTTTACAGATTTTGCAGAAAAACTACTAAAACAACTAGAGAGCTCTAAGGAGAGATTTGAAGTGAAGATGATGCTCATGAACCTTATCTCCAGATTGGTGGGAATTCATGAGGTTTGAATGAACTTTGTTTCATATACACAGTTTCATGAAATAGGATAACCCACATACTTTTTATTAACTGTTACTACTTTCACATGGAGCCTTGGTAGTGCAATGGTTAATTCAGCTCCACAGAAGAAAAGTCCTGGCAACAACCTAGGAAACTATAGGCAGTTCTACTCTGGCATACACAGTCTCTAGGAGTTGGAATCAGTTCAGTGCACATGACAATGACATTACATCTCACAGTCTGTTTATCCCTTCGTGGCTTTCTTGACTTCTAGATCTTTCTAGTTGGAAATTGTCATGTCTGCAAAGCTGAATTCTCATGCCATTTATTTTATATTGAACTAGATAGGAAGAGCTCCTTAGTGGTTTGTGTGTGTGTGTGTGTCTGTGTTGTGTTTGTGTGCATAGATATGGGAGCATCACACGTACTTTTAGACTGCCATTGTAGAAAAAAGAGAGATACCCAAAAATTTAGGTCATAAAACCATGATCATTGGTGGTATTTCCTGTCACTTTGCACTTCTGATTGTTACTACTTTGAATATCATGCAATGTGTCATTTCCTGTAAAATTTTTTTAAATAAGAAAAGTATAACAGGCTTGTTAATTGAAAATCAAATGATACAGATACGTGCAAAGTTAAAAGTAAAATCACGTAAGTAAAAGCACTCATTTCCTTTCTCCCTTTCTGTAAACCTGTGGTCCCAAAGTAGGATTACAAGGTCAGTTCTTGTTACAGTTGTGCAGCAATTTCATGTCAGACCTGAAATTGAGCAGGATAGGTGCAAAAAGGGTGTGGGGCAGTATCCTCTGACCTTGTCTAACTTCACAAGGGGAAGAAAGAATCAGCGTCAGTACCGTCAGCCCAAGACATCATCTCCTGTGATGTGGAGGCCACACATGCCACCACCCTCCAAACTTTTTACCAGTTCTGACACCAACTGTCCTCTCATGGCACTCAACTACTTTTTTGCTAGTTTTGATAATTTGTTGCAGAGGCCACACAGAACTCATCAACAGTATTCATGATTATGAGGTTTATTAGGGAAGCAACAAGGTACAGTTAGGTTCAGGAACACTTAGGATACAATTCTTTGATCAGGACATCCTCCCCTTAGCTGTGCCCGTAAGCATGCCTCTCTTTGGCCCTTTGCCTCTTGCCCTGGTCTCTGCCCTGCTTGGGCAAACGTTAGAAAACTCTTTTAGTTCTGCTGATAGGTGCACCTAAGTACACCCTAGTCCACCAGTAAGCCTCCCACCTGAAGGCATTCAGCTTTCTCACTCTGGGGGGTCGGCAAGCCCACCCTTCTGTCTCAGTTCTGTTGCCTCTGCTGCTGCTGTCTCTGCTAAGGAGGTCCAGCTCAGGGATCTCAAGTCCAAGAATGTGTTCCACCCCTGCTGCTGCTGCTTATTCTTGATGGTAGTGAGATTCCTCCCCCACCTTCCCATCTCAGATGGCTCATTTCAAGCCTAGCAGGATGACAGACTGACCAATGTCCATGTTAGAGTCCCATATACTTTATTTCCATTGTCCTACCCTCACAAGGGTGCCATGTACCTTATTTACATTATTGGCAATCCTTTCCGTGGGCCACAAGCACCTTACATTTACGTACTCCCACCCAGTCATTGGGTGAGAGTCATAATGACTGGCTAGAAGAGCCATACCAAATAATCCACTGCACCACAATAGGAAGGCAAAAGTGTCTTGCAAATTTAATCATAGGTTGATGGAAATGATAGTGGAGTTTCACAACTGATTGCAAGTAAACATCTTTATATTGAACCAAAATTTTCATTGTTATAATCTCAGTGGCCCATCTAAATTTTACCTTGTGGCTAAAAGAGAATAATTTATTCCCACGTGACAACCCTTGTAAAAGGCCCTCCATTTCCAAAGTTTCTCTTCTGGAAGTTAAACATTGGCTTTTCCTTGATTGCTCGATCCTTGTCACCTTTGCCTAGGTGGACTCTGGAGTGTTAGTGGTAGTTTATCTCTCAAATATAGAACGCAGAGTACCCCGATGTGGTTGGACTGGGGTATAGTAATAATACCAAGACTGTAGTCTCTTTCATGGTCACGATCTTGAGCATCACTCGTTGCTGTTCAGATTTGAACTACTATTTTGTCTCTTGCTCTGAATATCAGTACTGTTCTATCTTGTGATCCTATCTTTGAACATGAAAATTTCAGTTCTATAGCTGTACCAATTTTAGAAGTGGAAGATTATTACATTTTGGTTGCCTCTTTTCCCTCCAGTTTATTCTGTTTATACTTTATTTTTTGCATCATGAGGACAGCAACATGGCCTCACTTGAGAAATTCCACCCTTGCTTAATACAGCGTATTGAATCCTCTTGAGGCATGAATTGTTTATTGGGAAAAAGAAATGATTCCCCATTAGTTAATTAATTGCATTGTGAAGAAATTAAATTCCATAGCTTCAGGTACATAAATATTAAAGCCAGTGTATTATTCTCTCCACAGCTTTTCCTCTTTAACTTCTACCCCTTTATTCAAAGGTTTCTACAGCCCCACCAAAGAGGTAAGCCACCCATTGCCACAATCTTTTTGTATTCTTGGTGTTAGAATAACTATCCACTATCTCTTGTTCTGGAATCACTAAAGACAGAGTTAAGAGGACGTGCTTTCTGTATCAGAGAAATGGGGAGATGGTGTTATGTTCTCTTCCCAGAATCTGCTGTGCGTTAGTTGTTTTTTAAAAAAATAAATAAATTGTTTTTTCAAGTCAGGTGTTTTTTTTTTTTTTTTTTTTTGGGGTGAAAATTTACAGAGTAAATTCACTTTTCATA